TTAGGACTCAATGGGACAAAGTCGCTGGACAGTGTTTGTGTGAGTGTTCATTGTATCATGCGTGTCATTTCACTGGCTTTGTAACCTGCTGTGTGTGACCTTGGGCAGGCTACTTTAGCTTTCTATCTTTCAGTGTCTCCATCTTGAAGATGGGGACGGTCCTCTCTGCCTCACTGGGTTATGAAGACTAAACAAGTTAACACACTCAGAGTTTAGAAGAATGCTGACTCTGATTTTACTGCTGTTGTCATTGTTTGCAATATTTCGTATGAAAAGAACAAGCGGGAGTGTGGATAAATCTGGAGGCTGGTGAGGGTGGTTGCAGCTGAGTTGGGGGCATGCAGGGCAGTAGGTGGGCATAGTGTCATTTTGTTCACCTTTCTGTGTGATTATATCTTTGGTACAAACATCCACACCCTCCCTGTGGGCCAGGCCACGCAGAGTTCATGTCCTCAGTACCTGGGACGGTCCCTGCCACGGAGCCGGTCTCCCCTGGCTGGTAGCTGGATCCAAGCCATGGTCTCAGGTCTCTTTTTCAGGTCGGACAGCGTCTCTGACTAACCCTGATGTATGCAGAAACAAAAATGAGTGATTAGTTCAGATGTTTAGTGTAGAATTTTCTACTGAGATAATTTAATTTTCCTTAGTGACTTTTCTTGGGAAGCAGAAGTCATAACAAAGCCTCTGAGGGACGAAGCTTTCCGAATTCACTTCTCTTCTCTGGTCTCTGTCCACTCCTGGGAAACGAAGGGCCGGGGCTGCATGGGTGGGCTCCAGGACCCTTTCTGTTCTAACGTTGGGCTGTGTGGGTGGGCTCCAGGACCCTTCCTGTTCTAACGTTGGGCTGTGTGGGCAGGTTCCAGGACCCTTTCTGTTCTAACGTTGCAGGTCCTGTAGTGCAGGGCCCGCTTGGGCACATGTTCCTGCTCATTGTAAGACACACACTTAGCTGCCACCTTTATTTTCCCAGCTATTTCTCCCTCTCCTTTGCCTTCAGACCTTATATATGCTATTCTCTTTACCTGGAACTTTCTACCTACCCTAGTCTACCTTTTCATCTTTTTTTTTTTTTTTTAAATTGTTGTTGATAATATACACAGCAAAGCATACACCAATTCAACCGTTTCTACAGGTACAATTCAGTGACATTGATTACATTCTTCAAGTCATGCAACCATCCTCACGCTCCTTTCTGAACTGTTCCTCATTAACATACATTCACTGCCTCATAAGGTTCCTATCTAATCTTTTAGAGTTGCTGTTGTCCCTTTGATCCTGTATAGATAGTTCTTAAAAGAGCATAATGCTTAAGGCATACGTTTTTTACTAGTTAAACTAAGCTATTGTTTGGTTTTAGGAAGACTTCAGGGAGTATTTTTGGTTTAAGGTTTAAAGATTATCTCAGGGCAATAGTGTCAGGGGTTCATCCAGCCTCCATGACTCCAGAAAGTCTGGATTCCATGAGAATTTTAAATTCTGTTCTACATTTCCCCCCTTTTGATCAGGATTCTTCCATAGAATCTTAGATCAAAATGTTCAGTAATGGTTTCCATTTAAGTAATTTTTCCTTAAGGAACCTTCTTGATTCCCCAAGACTGGGTTTCTGTACTCCCGTGGTGTGCTGTTATAGGAATTGTCATAGAATATTATACATGCCAGTCTATTGTTTTGCTTTTAAAGTAAATTGTAAGGTCCTTAAGAGTTTGGACTGTATTGTGCTAACTTTGTCTCCGTAGTACCCATCATATGCTCGTCACACAGTTGGTATCCAACAGATGTTTGTTACATTTTGCTGGAAAAATTTTTGGATATGAAAGGATACACTTAATATAACCAAAATATTGTGCTGCAGGTACAGGAATGGAAGATTAAATAGAAACTGAATAGAAACTTGAAAAAGTGACCCAATATGTAATATTTTAAAGTATATTAAAGATAGTGTCCTCAAACCAGCGGGAAAAAGATTATTTAATAAACGACGTTGGAATGATTGGCTATTTTTTTTCCCAAAGTTCCCCACTAAACAGTATATAGCAAACTAAAATAACTTACAGAAGGATTGAAAAGTTAAGGGTAAGAAATGAAATGCTAGAAGCGAGAGCAGGGCACGTAGCTGGATATTTATGTAATCTCGGGAGGGGTGGGCCTTTCTAAGATTAGCTCCCGAAGTAGAACCCATATGGAAAAGAAAAAGAGTGATTGATCAACGACGCGATCGTCTAACCCTCCCATAAACCGGGAAAGCTGTAGTAATTTTCTGTTGCTGCTGTAACAAGTTACCACAACCTTTAGTGGCTTAAACAACACAGATCAGTTCTCTTACAGTTCTGTAGGTCAGAAGTCCGACACGGTCCCACTGGGCTAACGTTCGGGTTTGGCAGGGCTTCCAAGGGGCTTGTGGGGAACAAACATTTCTTGCCTTTCCCGGTTTCTAGAGGCTGCCCACGTTCCTTGGCTCAGGGCCCCCTTTCTCCACCTTCAAAGCCAGCAGTGCAGCCTGTCTCTGACCGGCCTTCCATAATGGCCACAGGTGGGAAAGGTTCTCTGCTTTTAGGGACATGTGTGATTAGATTGGGCCCACCTGGGTAATCCTGGGGGGTTTTCCTATTTCAGGGTCTGTACATATGAGTTGGAAACAGCACCTAACAACAACGCTCTTAATCACACCTGCAGAGTCCCTTTTGCCCTGTAAGATAACGTAGTCCCAGGCTCTGGGGCTGGTATTCTGCCTTCTACACCTCCTGCATGACAGAAGGAGCCCTCTGTGTAGCCCAGGCAAAGGGCCAACACCCCGTCAGAGTAATGGACAAAGGGCATGAAAGGCAGTTTACAGACAGAAGTAGTGCAAATGAAGAAGAAAAGCTTAAAATCGGTCAACCTGCCCAGTAATCAGAGAGATGCGTGTGCCAACATGGAGACCACTTTCCTCCTGTCGCATGAGCAAAGATGTCCTGTCACATGTGCTGGTAGTGATAGAAAGTGGTGCCGCTCTCCTAACGCGTGGTGTGGCAGGGTGCGTTAAAACCCTCCACAAGTGCGTACGTCCATCCCCGGAATCCATCATTAAGAACTCATCTTAGTTGTATGCAAATATCTGTCTACAGGGAGGTTTACAGCTGATCAGAAGCAAGTGGGAGCAAATCAAAGGTCTCACAGTGAACATTGGGTGAAGAAATTCTGGTGCAGCCGTACAGTGGGACAGCGTGGGGTTAGAGAGGACGCTGTCCAGGGAGACAGCCCAGGGCATGGGCAGTTAACTGGTGCTCGTCCAACTATTAGGATTTAAAAAATTTTTTTTGAAATAATTATGGATTCACAGGAAGTTGCAAGGAAATGTCTAGGGACATCCCATGCACTTTTTTCCCCATTTTAATGCTTTTTAATTTACATGGGCTGTATACATTCTTTTGTCGTACCAAATAATACATGTGAAGTAAATACATATATTTAAGTAAATTCAAGAAGAATAGTAATAACATGGGAAATGTTCTCAGACGCCGTCGAGTCTGGTCCGACTCATGGGGACTTTCTGTATAACAGAACGAAATGTCGCCAGGTCCTGCACTGTCTTCCTGGCAGGGAAAGAATGAACCTGTTGCTGTCGAGTCGATTCCGACTCATAGCGACCCTCCAGGACAGAGTAGAACTGCCCCATTGGGTTTCCAAAGGGGGCATCTTTCCGGATGCTGACGGCCCCGTCTTTCTCCCCTGGAGCAGCTGGTGGGTTCGAACAGCTCACTCTCAGTTAGCAGCCGAGTGCCTGTCTTCACACGTGTGCACACTCACACCACAGGGCTGTGCACCAGCACGTCCCGGCGGCTGTGGCTCCCGTGCGGACCGTATCATGCGGTTATCTGACCCATAGTGGCTTCAACAAATGGCTTTGCTGATTGGATGTAAATGGGAGTAGGGAGGTGGGCGCGGCTGGAACGGCAGCTCCAAAAGCCTTCAGAGACCCGCGCTCTTTTCCGTCTTTTTCCTGCCATTCCTCCCGGGTGACTTCATTTCCTGTGTCACCTCACGGGGGCAAGATGGCAGAGGTCCCTCTAGACTTCAGCTCTGCGTTCCAGGCAGGGAGAAGGGGGGAGCCAAGGGCAGAAGGGGTGCTAGCTAAAGCCTGTCTCCTTTTGTTGGAAAAGCGGAAACTTCCACTCATTTCTCCCTGGCCTGAACTAGGTCATGGGGCCTCCCTGGCAGGAAGTGAGCTGTGGCAGGGGGAGGGGGTGCTGGCTAGGGTCTGCTCTGCTGACCACCGGCGTTGACCACACGGGTTGTTTTGATCTGTTTTCCAAATTTACTATGACGAACATAATACTGCTGTAATAGAGCTATTAAATCTTTTTCAGAAATGACATTTATCTTCTGGTAATTCTGTATTCCCTCTTTAGACAAAATGGTTTTATTAGCTGCCGCGGAGTCAATTCCGCCTCATGGCCAGCCCGTGTGTGCAGAGTAGAACTGCTCCGTAGAGTTTTCAAGGCTGGGACCTTTCGGAAGCAGATAGCCAGGTCTTCCTTCTGAGGTGCCTCTGGGTGGGTTTGAAGAGCCAGCCTTTCGGCTGGTAGTTGAATGCTCACCCATTTGTGCCACCGAGGGATGGTGCTAAATGAGGATTTTCAGACGGGCATTTCGTTGTCAGTTTTCAGTCCATGTCGGTGAAACGTGGGCTGTGAGCAATGCCACAGTGACTGTCCTAGGTGCCAAGTAGCCCTGAAGCACTGGTCACTGTATTTGCTGCCGAGGGCTCTGGGTGGTGGGGTGCAGCGGCCACCTGCGCTGAGGCCTGTTCTTGGTGGAGCATGGGTGCCCTGCATGTGGGCTGTGGGCAGGCGGCGCAGGCGTCCCCTGGCCAGGCCCTCGGGCTGTGGTTGGGCAGGAGGGCGGGAAGGCAGCTGGTAGTCGCCGCTGAGCCAGGAGGGTGACTGGGCGCGCGGTTTCTGAGTCAGAGGGAGCCCTGGCAAGCCGAGGAGAAGCTAATGTATGCCCCTCTCCCTCCACAGCATCCAGCACGTGTACGGGGCCCAGCACTCCCCTTTCGACCCGCTGCTGCATGGCACGTGAGTCAAGTTCTGCCCCCCACAGGCTTCTCACCTACTGTTTGGAGAAGGCTGGGCTCCCCATCCTGGTGGAAGGGAGGCCGTGGTAGCCAGCTTCTCCTTGCTTCCCTCCAGCTCCATGGACGTCCCAGGAATTCCCAGGGAGAGGATCCTGTTCTCTCCTTGAGTAAACACGAGTCAAATGGTTGTTCTGTGTGGCACACTGCTGGCGGGGAAGGCCGGCTGGGCAGCCAGGCCGGTGCAGGGGGGCGGTGGGG